AGCCCTACACAATCGACTTCTGGCCCACGACCCAGAAATGACAGGAAACAGGATGTTACACATCTTTAACTTTGTTCTCCTTTTTTTTCTTTAACATAAAGTCCTTTGCCAAATGGTTTTTACTATTGTAAAAACTACAGTCATATCCCAAACCACCAACAAGTTTTTCCGATACTTGGATTATGAATCATTCTTCACTTTAACATCTGAATCAATATTCTTTCCTCCATAATTTTTTTTGCTCGAACTTGAGTAATTCTTTTGATTATTTGCCAATGCCACCACCACCACCACCACCATCGCCACCACAACCACCACCACTACCATATGATCATATAAGGTCACACATTAATCAAGTTGGCACCTATTGAATATTTTATTACTAATATGATTATTAATAAATATAATCAGCTATTGTATTTAGTTAGGTCAACTTATTAATTTATGAAAATAATATCTCTAGATTGTATTACTAGTTATTATATCATATTGTATGATTTAATAAGTTGTATACAAGTTTTTGGGCATATTTGATATACTAGACTTCAACATGTACACAAGTTATATTACATTGAGTCTTTGACACTCTTTGGTCCCCTCATTGGAGACTTTTGGCCGAATACTCCTTGAGGAGTGGGAGGTTGCTTGTTTTGCTTATTACTCCATGCACCATGCTCGTAGTTGTCGATCACTTCTTATTTAATAAAGGTATGAGCATTAGATCTCTTTTGCAAGTATAAAAGGGATGCATGAGGCTTGCATTTGAAGCTAATCATTTTCTCTTTTCTTCTCAAGAACCATAGGTTCTCTCTATTGAAGCTAGTTGCAAATGTTGGTGTTTAGAAGTGTTTCTCCTTTAATGCTAAATTGTGATAAACACTTAAAGACTTAAGAAGTTACAAATACAAAAGGGAACTAGCATTCCATTGTGATTTACTCTTGATGGTGGATACTTGTAGAGAAGATAAAACTTCTTGTTATTTGCTATTTTCATCAAGTCTCCAATTCCAAGTGAGATCAAAGGCTCCAAAGGTTGTCTTCGCAACATTCTATGTGTTGTTATAAACTTTATAGTTCATGTAATTGGATCCTTGATATGGGCATATTTAGTCATATAATTCATGCATTATCTTAATACTTTATGTTGTTTTTGTCTCATTTAATGAACAAAAGGTGCTTAATTAGTTTAGAATTTCATTTTTCAGCAACAATGACATGCTCGGATGGAAAAGGAAGCGGAATTGGCGATTGGAAGCTTGGATCTTGGATTTTGAAGAAAGAAGGATGTTGTTGGACAGCTTGACCCCTCGTCAGTGTTTTAGCCATATCTCATGAACCGTAACTACGATTGACGAGATTCAAAATGTTCTGAAAACTAGACACAATTTCGGACGAATTTCATGTTTTGAGAAAGTGCTGATTCCAAACGGACTCGACGAGTTGGGCCTCAACTCGACGAGTCACGTCGAACTTTCGCGATTCTGGACGTTGACTTGCCGTGCACGGGTTTTAAGTGACGGACTCGCCGAGTCGGTCACTGGACTCGATGAGTCACCTCTGTTTTATGAAAATCTATATAAAGGGCATTCCTGCCCGATACCCTAGCATATAGATTAACCCTTGGAGGCCAATTGTCGACTGAAGGTGCTGCTGGAGTGTGGGAAGCTAAGGAATCAACCCTACATTCAATTTTAAGGAGAATCAAGGCAAAATCAAGTTTACTCTTTACCTAATCTCTTGTTTGAACTATGTTTTTACCAATTGATTTCGTTTTTGAGCTTGTTTCTGCTGTAATCATGAGCTAAAACTCATACCTTCTGTGTTAGGATAGATGATTTTGTGATTATGGTTTGATTTTGTGGTTGGATTAATTTAATTTGGTGAACTTTGTTTTATTAATCTTGTTAAAGAACCTTATGCATTAACCATAACTATTTTCTGTTAATGATCAAGTAATTAAGCTGCATGAACATCTCTTAATTGCTTATCTCATGTGATTTATGTGAAAACATAGTTATGTGCCTAGGATTAGCGAACGTGAAACTAGGATTAACTAGAAAGAGGGTAAATTAATGTGTGAGCTTGTATGACAAACCATCAACAAGAGGTTAATTGAATTAGTAATTTGATTAACTAATTACAAGTCTTATTTAACCCGAATCAATAAACTAGGAAACTCATTGGTTTAATCAACTGATCACTGCTTGAATTAATTTGTTTTCTAAGGATTAGTAATAGCGAACGTGAACCTAATCACACTAATCGGTAGCTAATGCCAATTAATCCATTGCACTTGTCATAAAATCAACCATAGGATTCGAACCTAAACAAAAGTCTCCTTAATTACTGAATTTAGTTGATTTTTATTTTCTTAGCTCTTAGTTGCTTAGTTTAAGTTTTAGTTAATTGTTTAAGTTTCTAGTCTTGCAAAACTAGATAATATTACTTGTTTTATTTAGATAATATTAACATTTATTTTAATTGTTTACCGTTCCCTGTGTTCGATACCCTACTTACCTGAACTAAACTGTTAATCGATAGGTACACTGCCTTTCGTGTGTTTGTCTTTGTGTTTAAGTTAGTAGGATTAAAACTAGTGCATTTTACACACATCAATCCTCTTGGTAGTTTTGTTAAAATTGTCTTAAAATAAACTAGTTATTTTTTGAATTCTTCCGTTTTCCGTATAAATTTGTTTATAAAAAATGATCGCTTTTTTAACTTTCAAAAACCCATCAATACAAACCCTAGACGAGGACACCATTCTCGCTCAAGTCTCGGCAGTTAGCACATCGTTCCGTCGCACCCATGCAAGAAAGACTGCCGACAACCATCAGCCCATCACCTTCCGTCCCAAGCTCACTCCGTCGCAACTCGCAACTCGCCTCTTCTCTTTGCATTCAAGATACAATATGCATAACAACGATTCTTGCTTAGACACTCACCTCGTCGAACTCGACACATAGTAACACCACAACTTCTCCCTCAAGCTCCGTAAGTTTTTGATTTTGAAACTGGAAACTTCAATCTACTTGTGGCTGTTTATATTTTTTTGAACGATATATATGTTTATATATATTTTTTTACTAAGTTGAGTCTTGCTTTGAATATTTTTGTATTGCGGGTTAATGTTTATGTTTAATGTTTATACTGTAGTGCTTGAACTAATGAACACTCTTAATTTTGTTTCCTATATTCCTATATTGTTGTTTAATACCGCATTGTTGTTTAAATGTTTTTATTTGAAAGATGAATCAGTTAATCAGTTTATACATTTTAGGTAATTTGGTTTTGTATTTCTGTTAATGGATTGCGCTTCGACTGCAAAAATAACACCACCTATATCTTTTATTTATTTATTTATTTTATTATGACGATGAACCAGTGAAATGTTCTTAACCATGACCACCCATTTGCTAAACACAACGTCTTGTTATTTTGAAATTTGATCAACTACTTGCATGTAGGATTGTTCACTATTTGGATAAAACCGAATTGTCCAATTGGACAATTTGGATTGGACTATCTAGTTCAGATATTTGGATTTTTGGATTGGTTTCCAACAAAACTGAATTATTATTTTGGATTGGTTTTGGTTTATAAAATAAGAACCGAATAGTCTAAAAAAACCGAATAAACATATATTATTTATTTATTTTTAATACATATCTATAGTTATTTATTAATTTTGTAATTTATCCTTTAATATAGGTTCAAAACGTTTCACTCAGTAAAAAACATTAATATGCATTTTCTCTCAAAAAATTTCTATCTATAAAATATTTAACTATAATATACCTTCTTAGTAGTTGTTTATAAATTTCAAATCACAACTAAATAATTTGTTTTCACTTCTTGTGTAAAATTGAGTAATATTATAATTATATGTCGTTTTAAAATGTTTCGTTTTTTAAAACCGAATTATAAAAACGATCCAACCGAATTGTAATTGGATCAGATCGGATCGGATTTGAATTTAGTTTGGACTATTCGGATCCATGTTTTGAAAATCGAAATCAATTTGGATTCACTTGATTGGATCGGATCAAACCGATCCATCCAAACGAACGTCCCAGCTTGCATGATGGTAAATATTGCAATATGAATTAGGAGGACAAAACAAGAATAAACATAAATAGAGGGTAACAATTACAATTTTAGGTAAAAATCAAGGGTATTTTCTGCGGTTTAACCAACATTTAAAAGAACCCCTAAACGAAGCCATCCGTTTATGCTACCGTAGAAGAGGACCGGAAACAACGCCGCGCCCCTGAACCCGGAGCTTTGCCATATTCCGATACGGTTGTGCATGTGTCAACATCAGAGGGATATTTTTTAATATGTTGATTATTTGAATGAGGTTCGAAGCTTTCTTCATGTTAGGTTAATGACAAAAAGTAATCAGATTTTTTCAGTCATATTTGTTTCGTGCATCATTTTTTCGATGTTTCTGTTTCTTTTTCTTTCAGTCTGTTGATTATGAATGTAGCATCTATAGTAGGGGGAGGGGCTTCATGAGCGAAGGAAACAATTTCAGTATTCAAACATGCAAACTCTAGTTTAGTAGACAGAGGCACTGTGCAAAATAGTCAATCGGTCTTATTTCTTCTTTTGACCTTATTAGTTTCTGCACATCTATGCTATCTATTTTTAAACGCAAATATTCGTTAAATTCGGTTGAATTTACACTCTTGAGTACATTGCCCACCACCTGTTTGATAAAATGCCACTGCAACAAAACTAGAAAATGACGTATTCTTTGATACATTGGTTTTACTATATTTGAAAACGGCTAGTAATTATGATGTGATTGTCATCTTGCAGGTGATGCATTGAGGAAGAATTCTTTATGCTTCAGTCCTTCTATATGGAGAAGGGTCATGTTAGCATCAAAGATGGAAACAGGGGACATGGTTTGATGTTAAGACATGAAGAGGTTTGCTACCTTTGTCCCAAGATATTGCTGTCAAACATTGTATCATCATCATCATCATCCACAAATGGTTTCTTCTGTCATTTCTCTCCCATTTGTCATACCAAATCCTTCAACCCGAAAATACTCATCACTTGGTTCGGCTAGTGCTAGACACTTCCCTGATTATTCCCCCAAAAAGCCCACCATCAAAGATTCTGAACTTGTTTACAGCATCTCCACCACCATTAAGCAACGCCACTTTGAACCCATAGAACGAATTCTGAAACCATTCGAATCAAGGCTTAGGTCTGATCACTTTATTTGGGTTTTGATGGGCATAAAGAATGAGTACACGTTAGTGTTGACTTTCTTTGACTGGTTCTGCTTACATAGAGCTCCATCTCTTGAGGTGAGATGCATTATCATTCAAATTTCTGTTGCTGCAAAAGACCCAAAAGTTGCTTATGAACTTATTCATGACTTTTGGACTAAACCCAATGTAGATGCTACTCTTCCGTTTACCCTTTTCATGGAAAAGTTGATATACACTTACAAAGATTGGGGCTCTAATCCCCATGTATTTGATATATTCTTTGAAGTCCTTGTTGAAGTTGGAATACCTGATGGAGCCAAAAAACTATTCCACAAAATGGTAAACTATGGAGTGGTGATATCTGTCAATTCATGCAATCTACTTCTCTCACATCTATCACAGAATATCGATACATGTAACACAACACCACAAATTTTTACTGAATTTTTACAAGTGGGTGTTAAATGGAACACTGTGTCACATAACATAATGATTCACTGCCTTTGTCGAATGAAAAAAGTCAAAGAAGCTCATAACTTACTCATCCAAATGGAGATGCGAGGCTATTTCTCTGATGCTATTAGTTATAGCACTATCATAAATGGGTATTGTCAGATTGGAGTGTATAATGTAGTTTTAAAACTTATGGAAGAAATGCAAATAAAAGGATTGAAACCAAACAAGTTTACTTTCAACAGTGTGATTTTTCTTTTGTGTAAGATAGGCAAAGTGTTGGATGCAGAAAAGATTCTCAGGGAGATGACATGGCAAAATATAGTTCCTGATAAAGTAGTGTATACAACACTAATTGATGGTTTTTGCAAAACTGGGAATGTCACTGCTGCATATAGGCTGTTTGATGAAATGCATAGCAGGAACATTTTACCTGATTACATAACATATACTGCTCTTATATCTGGTATTTGTCAAATGGGGAATATATCAGAAGCATGTAATCTCTTTCTTGAAATGCGTAATAGAGAAATGGTTGTTGATGAATTTACATATTCAGTCCTTATTGATGGGTACTGCAAGAATGGTCAAATAAAGGAGGCGTTTTCACTTCATAATGATATGGTTGAAATGGGTTTAACTCCAAATGTTGTAACTTATACTTCATTGGTTGATGGTTTATGCAAACAAGGGGAAATCGATACAGCAAATGAACTTCTTAAAGAAATGTGTTCAAAGGGTCTTGAATTGAATATACACACATACAATTCACTTGTTAATGGCCTCTGTAAATTTGGTCACATTACAAAAGCGATAAAGTTAATGGAAGATATGAAAGTGGAAGAGGTGTATCCTGATGCATATACATACACAACATTAATGGATGCTTATTGTAAGGCAGGAGACATGGTTAAAGCTCATGAGCTTCTTCGTGAAATGCTGGAAAAAGGGATTCAGCCAACTGTTGTTACCTTTAATGTTTTAATGAATGGGTTTTGCATGTATGGGATGTTAGAAGATGGAGAGAAGCTACTGACATGGATGTTGGAAAAGGGTAAAAACGGTATTATGCCAAATGCCACCACATACAATTTGCTTATGAAACAGTATTGCATCCGGAATGATATGCATGCAACAAGTGAAATCTACAAGGGTATGTTGGGAAAAGGAGTTTCCCCAAATACAAACACATATGATGTTTTAATAAGAGGACATTGTAAAGCAAGGAATATGAAGGAGGCATGGTTTTTGTATAAAGAAATGGTGGAGAAGGGATATGATCTCACAGTAAATGGTTATAATGCTCTCATCAAAGGGTTCATTAAAAGGAAAAAATATTTAGAGGCAAAAAGTATGTTTGATGAAATGAGGAAAAAAGGGTTAGTTGCAAATAGAGAAGTATACAATTTCTTTATGGATATGAATTATCATGAAGGAAACCTGGATTTAACTCTTGAGCTGTGTGATGAAGCCATAGAAAAAGGTATTGTTGATAAGACTGATGTTTGAAGCTTGACCTTCCGGAAAAAGTCAAAATTGTTGATTTTCTAACAAATGAATCATGTATCTGGTATGTAATATGTTCTTCTGTATATTATATATCATCTTACTCATATTCTCATAGAAATTCAACATCACATTTCATTGTTCTTGTATAAATGATCTAAAATATATAAAAAAAACATGGTTCTTGATACTCTTTGCATTTACACATTCACAGCAAATACAACAACATCAAAGAGAGACAAATTACAAACTCCATACATTTGCTAATGACATAATTACCCTTTGAAGAAGGTGGAGATCCACGAGGAGTAACAGATTCTGTTGCATTTTCTTTTGAGCAACTATAGCTACAACGACTTGGACGAACTACTCTGTAAACACCCGTGCTTGCAAGGACATATATGTCTTTTTGGTTATCTTCTCCAAAAGAGTATATGTAACCTAAAGAAGCCAAGTTAGTGTTTGGAACAGAAGTGCACTCTAATGGTGAATCATGAGCACAGCTGAAAGGGATTGAAGTTGTGGTAAAGTTCCCACTGTTTGATGGTGTTTCAAAAGCTGCCCATAAAGCAGTAGCATATAAATCTGCATACAGGTAACTAAACTTTCATAGTTAGAAACAATCCTTACATTTTTTATTTTCATAATTTGTTTTTTTTCTTTTTTTAATTATTGTTATTATTACCTGCCATATAAGCATGGATCTGTAGTAGAACGATAGAAATACCCCCCTGTAATTGCTGCAGAACCTTCTTTTTTGTTTACATCATAGTGATTATATCCCATTGCTGGAAATATAACATCTTTTGAATTATTAGATGTTATATTTTCTTTTGAATTAACAGGAAGGTGACCTTCATATATACTCCACCCATAGTTTCCACCTTTTGTAATCACATCAATCTCTTCATAACGATCCTAATCAATCACACATTATTTTAATACTTGTCACTACAAACATAAGGGTAAAATGGTCATTACAAAAATATGAACGAACCTGACCGACATCTGTACATAGGAAATAAGAAGGTCTTTCTGAATCAAAGCTACACCTCCAAGGATTTCTGAGCCCTAAAGCCCAAATTTCAGGCAACAATTCTTTATCTTCAGAGTAAGGATTATCACGTGGGATTGAATAATTTCCCCATAGATTCAAATCATCCGCTTCTGTAAAAAAAAAAAAAAAAAAAAAAATTCAGAATTTTTATAAACTTGAAAAAAAAATGAATACTTTACAGTTTACAGTTTACAGCTTACTTACTAGGAAGTGTATCTACATCCACCCTCATGATCTTTCCAAGCAATGACTTCTTATTTTGAGCAAAACCAAAAGGACCATTTCGCCCTCCACCATCTCCCAACATTATATACATATACCCATCATTAGGTCCAAAAAGAATTTGCCCCCCATGATTATTTGTATATGGAAGCCCCATTGTAAATATCCTTCTCACTTCCGTAGGTTTCCCTTTTATTTCCTACAAACAAATACAATTTAGAAACTAAACTAGTACTATTAAATGCTATCAGGAACAAAATGACCATTTTACCCTTTTTACCTTTTTAGGGTCAGAACCCGAACCCGAACCCGTCCCATTAACGGTATACTCCGCAACAACATTATGATACTGACACGGATGCTCATTTCCAGCTCCAACAATCTTGGAAGGATCACAGCCGACATCCGAATTACACCCACACCTTCCGGAACATGTAGCCGACTTTTCTTTATCACAATTAAACGAAGCAAAAAACCTCCCGTTTTCCACAAACTTTGGATGAAACGCAATCCCCATCAACCCAAAAACCGTATCAAACTTAACCTGATCCGTTAAATCCACAAACGGGCTGGACCCATCAAACCCTAATCCTTCACCCGACCCGTGAGACGGAACCGTTACGACCCATATCTTACCCGGTAAGTCCGATAAAAACACACGGTTCGACCCGTCTGGGTGAGCCGCCATGTTTATGTAACCTTTGTCTCCCAATTTCTCAAGGCATAGACCTTTCGGTGGGCCCGGGGTTTCGGTTTTGGTTGAGTTTAGTTCGATCGGTGTCCCGTTGAAGCATTGATTTTGACTTTTTTCGATTTGGGTTTGACCGAATGCGGTGCAGAAATCGGACCTTGATTGCCAGAGATCGGTGAGTTTGGTTGATGTGTTGTGTGCTGATCCGGTGGTTCCTTGTAGCGTAGGGGCAAAAAGGGAATTTTGTATTGGAATGTTTTGACACGTGTCCCATACGTTTGCACAGAAACTTGTGGAGGATAGTTTTGAAGAATCGGGTGAATTCGGAGAGTTACAAAGAAGTGGAACCGAACGTGTTTGTGTTTGTGATTCGATCGTGTATAAGTTTGCTGAGAACTGATCGCATGTCTGCGGAGGGTAAAAACGTCATTTTAGGAAGTCCCCGTCTTAAAATTATGCATTTTTAGCGATATAATAATAACAGACTTTGTATGATAGTAGTAGAGATAAACTTACAGCACATATAATTGATTTGATAACAGAAGCACAATTTGGATCTGAGATGTTCATAGCTTCAAACTGTTTTTGTAACTCGGAGTCTTTATTTGAGTCGCAACATACCCTTCCTTTGTATGGACAAAATGACAGAGGTTCATTTCGAATCACAGGTGCCCCTAAAACATTAACATCACACAATCATCATATATATATATATATATATATATATATATATATATATATATATATATATATATATAGTTACATATATATACATTGGAGAATAGACTATAGAGACTTACTCATGTTGGTGCACATGGGTAGTGAAGAAGAAGGATAAGGGAACACCAGTAAAAAAATCAGGGGAAGAAACCTGAAAAAAGCTTCCATTTTTGTCACATGTACAGAGATAATCTATTAATCTCTCTGTGTGTGTGCGCGCGCTTATTTATATATATATATATATATATATATATATATATATATATGTATTTATGGGTTATGGGTCCTGTCTTTATGATAAATATAAACTTGTACAGGTGGTTGTGCTGCAGGGGAGCTTTAAAGATGGGGTAATCATGGAGGGGGGAAAAAGACAAAAATGCCCCCATTCCCGAAAGGCTGCAACTAACATTTTTATATCTAGTAGCTAAATTTAGCAAAGTTGAAACAACGGTCGTCTTTTTTATCTCTCTTGGTTGACAATTGAGGCGGAAGAAAATTAACAAGAAATCATAGATTAAGACAGTAATTAACTGAGATATGGTGGGCCCCCACCCCACAAATATAACTAAATTGTTTATATTAATTTAGTAAAATTAAGATCTTAGTGGGATATTTAGTTGGTAATGGTGGACAGACATGCACTAAGAAAGTTGGTTTTTTAACGATAATTTTTAGCTTTGATCATTTTGTTGTGTTATATTTTATATGAAATTGAATTATGGTTTAGCTTTGTGGTTGAATTCTATGCGTTATAACATAATCTGTTGTATGTGAAGTTAAATTATTATTATTTGGTTAATTGAAGTGAATGCGAAGGTCAATAATTACAAAAAGTAAAGTAAGTTTTGAAAGAAGGGGGAAAATGAGTTGGGGTTGGTAATAAATTTGGTTAATTCAAACACCACAAGTTTTTCTTATGATATCAAATACTTTATTGACTATTGGAGAAAAGAGATGAACGAAAAGCAACTCGAAAGTAGCATTTTGTTATGTGAAAAAAATTCTCAACCACTTGTGTTTTTAGGTCTACAAACTTTAGCTTTTCTCCATTAGGATTAAGAAAATGTAAACAATTTTAAAGAATCGAATCCTAGAGTTTTAAGGCTGTGTTTACATGGGAGAACAAGATTTGAATGTCTATATTTTTTTAATGAGGATAAAGAAGATATTCACGCTTTTGTAGAGCAATAAAACGATTCCTCGTTCAATCTTTTTTTATATGTGATAAAAATTGTTTTTTATTTTTGTCTAATTGATATTAGTACTTGCCTTGTATAACTTATTATGTCCTCTGTTGCATAACAAGTATGTTTAAGTGGAACTATTCTTACTTTTAAAATAATAATCAAAGCTTGCAAATTAGTAAGTTAAGTAAATGGCTCAGAAAAATATACAAGAAGCACCAGTGGTCTAGTGGTAGAATAGTACCCTGCCACGGTACAGACCCGGGTTCGATTCCCGGCTGGTGCATTTATTTTTTTATATCAAAAGTACTTTTTGTTTTAGTAACTAATCCCAGAAATGGTAACATGTTCGGTTCTATGTTGTAGTGGTTAGCACTCTGGACTTTGAATCCAGCGACCTGGGTTCGACTCCCGGTAGGACCTAATTTTTGTTTTACCATATGATTTGCACTCTTGAAGATTCTAATAAAATTTTCTTTGTTAGGACTCATAACACGAGGAGAACATTGATTTGCGGTGGTACTTTTTCTTAATTTTGTCGAAAATTTCTAAAAAAACATTTGAATTCTTTGACTTTTGTCCTTGAAATTTTACATTTACAGATTTGGTGTTTTACGGGAAAATGTGGTGATTGCAATGTTGAGTATGGATATCATGGATCAACCCAGTTGAGTATGGATCATCAATTTCTCCCACACAAAATAAAATAGCTTTTCACCTTAATTAAATACCATAAGATAACATGAATTGGAGCTCATTTAGGGAGGAGATGAATAACAGTTTTTTGAATGACAATTTTTCACTGGGAGGATAAAGACAATGTTGTATTTAGCTAATTACAACAATCTCAGATTTGTGGATTTCGCTTCAAGAAAATGGCACCAAGTTCGATTAAAGTCACAATAGACAAACACAAGTGACGTGTCGACTCCGATCCATCAAAATCATAAAAAAGTTCAATAATAAATTTGCAATGAAATGAAACCCAAAATCAAATTGTTAAATTAAAATGTAAGAAGGTGAAGGGGATTTTTGAATCAATTCTAGAAACCGAACACATAAATAAGATCAGAAAAAAGTTTGTTAGCTAAATCCAAAAATTGTTGAACAAAGCCTAAAAAATTAAATATCAAAATCTAATATTGCGATAAAACCTCAAACTCTACAAAGATTAAACCTCATAAATACGACGATCCAACCTGCAATGAAACCTGGAAGATATAATTTATTTAAATAAACAAGCTGATCTTGCTCGTACAACATCACCTCGGTGTTTTTTTTTCTTGTTTGAATGTTTCAGATGTTTGGCGTGTTGGCGGATACCTTTTTTTAGGGTCGGAGAAGATGAATTTAGAGAGAAAGAGAGAGAAGCTTAATGGTTTCCGGTGGTCCAATATGCCTCTTATTTTTGGCGGTCCAATGATTGTCGATTGTCAAGGTGGTTGAAAGTGATTGTGGTCGGTGGCAGTAACAGTGTTACTTAGGGGATGAGCATCGAAACTGAGTATCTGCCTTTGGAATCGGAACCGCCTTGGAATTGCCGGTTCTAAAACTGGAACCGTCTTAACTGGTTCCGATTCTCATTTTTTCAGACAAGAATTCATCCAAATTTTGAACTACATGATAATAATCGATGATATATAAAAAATTATTTCATATTAGCAAAACCTGTTTTTTGACCTTTTTATTATAAAAACTTGAATTTAAAAGTGGTTAAGGACGTAAAAAAAAAACTGTTGTTAAAACCACCTTTAAATCTATATTACCATAACATCATTTCATGTAAACTTATAATCTTTAATTTACTGCTAATAAATTTAATTTCTAAAGTACATGTGGGTCGATTGAGGACATTGTGTTTTGATAAAGGGTTACGTGGGTCGATTGAGGACATTTCATATTAGCAAAACCTGTTTTTTGACCTTTTTATTATAAAAACTTGAATTTAAAAGTGGTTAAGGACGTAAAAAAAAAATTGTTGTTAAAACCACCTTTAAATCTATATTACCATAACATCATTTCATGTAAACTTATAATCTTTAATTTACTGCTAATAAATTTAATTTCTAAAGTACATGTGGGTCGATTGAGGACATTGTGTTTTGATAAAGGGTTACGTGGGTCGATTGAGGACATTTCATATTAGCAAAACCTGTTTTTTGACCTTTTTATTATAAAAACTTGAATTTAAAAGTGGTTAAGGACGTAAAAAAAAAATTGTTGTTAAAACCACCTTTAAATCTATATTACCATAACATCATTTCATGTAAACTTATAATCTTTAATTTACTGCTAATAAATTTAATTTCTAAAGTACATGTGGGTCGATTGAGGACATTGTGTTTTGATAAAGGGTTACGTGGGTCGATTGATGACATTTCATATTAGCAAAACCTGTTTTTTGACCTTTTTATTATAAAAACTTGAATTTAAAAGTGGTTAAGGACGTAAAAAAAAACTGTTGTTAAAACCACCTTTAAATCTATATTACCATAACATCATTTCATGTAAACTTATAATCTTTAATTTACTGCTAATAAATTTAATTTCTAAAGTACATGTGGGTCGATTGAGGACATTGTGTTTTGATAAAGGGTTACGTGGGTCGATTGAGGACATTGTGGTTTGCGGGGGTCCGTTCTTTGGGGACCTTTAATGGCGTCTGGCTTCAATACCAATTAGGCTCGGTGGTTTGGGGTTGTACTCAGCCATAGAGGCTTCCTCCTATGCTTTTGTGGCCTCACGAGCTCAATCATGGGCGTTACAACACCACATCTTACAAAATAGTGACATATGTGGTATGGATTCAGATTATGTTTGTGCTTTGGCCTGTCTTCGTGATACGATCACGGGCTTTGATTTCAGCGGTTTCACTAATAAGGACACCGCCCCTCCAAAATCTCAACATTCATTGGCGAGTGCCCTTTTTAGTAAAATTGTCCAAGACATGGAAGTTCACTTCGACATGACGATTAGGCAGAAAGCAATTTTTGAGTGTCTACGGGCCCCACATGCTCAGGATTTCCTTATGACTATTCCTATTGACGGTCTTGGCCATCATATGTCGCCAGTGGAGTATTGTGCCATCCTCAAGTATCGCCTTATGATTCCCTTATTTCCGGCTGACGAGACTTGCCCTGTTTGTCGTAAGGCATGCTTGGACTCCTTTGGGGAGCATGCAGTTCATTGTAAAGAGCTCCCGAGTTTCAAGTACCGACACGATCTGGTTAGGGATGTTCTTTTCGACATATTTAGGCGCGCTGGGGTTTCCGCCAAGAAAGAGGCACCTGTGAATTTTTTGACTGGCCCATTGGAAGGAAGATCAACACTTAGACCAGCTGATGATTTAGTATTTGGATGGGCTGGAGGAAAACATGCATGCGTGGATCTAACAGGGGTTTCCCCTCTTGTGGGTCTGGGGAGTGGGGTTTTCACTGTGGGGCAAGCTGCTTTAAAAGCTGCATCAAGCAAAGTGGCAAAACATGAGAAAGCGTGCATGGAAAATCAACACACGTTTATACCCTTTGCATTTGATACTTTCGGTTTCCTTGCGCCAGAAGCTGTGGAGCTACTCAATAGAGTCCAACGGGTCATGCATAGTAATGTTATGACTCCAAGATCTATTGATGTTGTTTTAAAAAGAATTAGTTTTTCCATCCAAAAAGGTGTTGCGACACAACTTGTTGCTCGTTTACCCACTGCGTCTATGTAAAACTTTCTTCTTATGTTTTATAAAATTTTATTAATTTGATTTTTAAAGTAAAAATAAAATCAGAAGGGTAAAACTGTCTTTCTATATCGACCAGGGACCATACGCGCAATAAAAGCAAACCATAAGGATGATACGAGTGAAAAAAACTTGTCAGGGACCAAACACGCAAATTTCTCAAAATCACAAGGACGATCCGTGTAATTTACCCCCATTTTTATTTCTTATACTAACCTTTCCCTTATGTATTCTAATTTTTATTTATGCATACTAACATTTACATTATGCAACTAACTTTTATTTATGCAACTAACATTTATT